GGGGGGAGAGTGCTCGTTTGTACAGATGATTGTCTTTGAGAGGTGGTTGTTATAGCAGTAAACTCCATAGATGGTTGGCGGGCGCTCTGGTGTGGTTTGCTCCCTCTTTCCTATCAAACATTCTGTCGTACTTATCTCTCCTCCTTTTCTTTATGTATGTTACTCACTGGTAACAACTCTTATCTTCGACACATATATGACCTAACTGTGTTCACGTTGCAAGTGGAGTAAAATTCGTATTAGATCTAAACCCTAACTCTCAAGTAACGCATCTAATATTCTTCATTTAAATATAACCTATTTGTGTTGCAAGTTCCGTAAAGCTCTTACTAAAACTTAACTAAAACTAAAACTCATATTTTCTCGTATATATCCTTATTCCAATACTGAAGTTGTTGAGTGGTGTGTTTGGTTAACGCGTGTTGTCAAGGGGTTGAGGGTTCCTTACCTCCAGGTAGTACAGATGTTCCCGCTCTTTCACCGTGAGCGCATTGGAGACGGCAAACACCATGCCGAAGACGACGAGAAGTAGCGCATACAGACCACACAGCAGTTTGGTCAGGGCGGATCTGAGGAGGGAAAAAGAAATGATTGCTTTTGAGGACAAGCGGGCTAACCCAGATTTTACCTACACCAAAAGTGGGCATTGTCCTACTTATAGAAGTTTGGTGTGTTTAATTTATTTGTGTGATTATTTATATTTTAAAAAACCCCTCCTTGTCTTTTAAAGAAACTGAACGAGGGTCCAAAAACTTTACATTCGATTTTCTCAAAACAGCATTTTTTTCGGGATAGCCCCCTTGTGCTTTAAAGTGACCCAAATTCGTGTGAGTCAGGGGCCATCAAACTTTGGCTCACGGGCTGAAGGAATCGCGAACTGGTTGTTTCTTCCGTGATTCGAGCAAGAACTGTAAAAACGTTGGCCGACTTTTTAGTGCTCAAAATTAGGGGTCAATTGGCGTAAAATGCTGGCCATGGAGACTTTGTGGGTTAATGTCCTGTTCTAGAAGGCAGTCATGTCTAAGAAGTAGAGGTCTTGTTTTAGAGAGCTTTCACAAGGCTTGGTTTGGCGACCAGCGTTCAATGACGAAGGTCTCGATTTCGTATTTCTTTGACACCTACAAATCAGCTCCCGTATCCATTCAACTACTTTTCGTGTGTGTGTGTGTGTGTGTGTGTGTGTGTGTGTGTGTGTGTGTGTCCATCTGGCTGTCTTTCTCTCCTCTTCCTCCTTCATGGCGATAAGCTTTCGTCAAGTCCTGTTAATTGGATTACGAACATGGCTCAGCTTTCAAGCATTGCGCAAAGCTTTCTGCGGACAAAGCCGTTTTATTAGACTTATCTTCTTCGATGACCAATCGTATAATTTATTTACTCAGTGGGGTATCAGGTGAATGCACACTGTAATAGGCAGGCTGTTTCGCCCTGAATGTTACCTGTATAAAACGGAAACCTGTCCAACGCGGAAAAGCATTAAAAAATCCGCTCCCTTCCGAGGGTTTCACCTGTCTAAGACGGAAAACGCTTTGCCCGCTCAGCCCTGATTTGAATTTGAAACAAAAAATCGCAAGTTTGGTTCCGCCGGCGCTAAACATAAACGCTATGGCCATGCTGCTGGGAGAAGAAGTAGCGATGCAGAAGGTCAGTGTAGTGTGGGAGTGAAATCTCACCACTGCCCGTGAGAGTGCTCGAGT